CGGTCCAGTATCCGATGAACTCCCCCACCCTTCCCCCTCCCGTTTTCATTAAAGGGGGCGTCATGCGCCTCGCCCGCTCGATCAGCACGTCTCTTGCACCTTGCGGGTATAGGCAAAACTGCCGGTGCTCTCCATGTAGGAGACGGCGTAGCGCTTAATCTCTTCGTTCTCCGTCTTTTGGCGGAGGATGTTGAGCAGCTGCATGTTCGCCCATGTTTGGAGCGGATGCTGTGGATGACGGGGAAGCTGAACTGCCCTCGGTCAGGTCCTCGCACATGCCCTTGTTGGCCGGTGTACTCGTTGCTGAAGAGGTTGTGGAAGTCGTCGGCGATCTAGAAGACGAGCCCGACGATGTTGACCAGCGGCACGCAGTCAACCAGGCTGCGCGACTCGGCCTGCATCAGCTTGATGCCTAGCCGGAAGAGCCCGCCCGTCTTGTTGCTGACCATCTCCAGGTAGTCGTCCTCGGTCGGGCACGTCAGCGTGTCCCGCCAGAAGAGGTCCATCCCTTGCCCGCGGTGCAGGTTGACCAGCTCCTCGGCGAATATGGAGACGGCCTTGGGGTTCTTGAGCTTCTGGAGCTCCTGGAGGGCGCAAAAGTAGATGTAGTTGGACGAGTTGATGGTTTGCGGGATGCCAAAGATGGCGTGCGCCACGGGGTAGCCCCGGCGCAGCTGGCTGTTGTCTTCGACGTCATCGACGAGGAGGGAGGCCGTGTGCAGCATGCCGACAACCTTAGTGATCACCTCGAGGGACTCGGGGGGCACCTCCAGCCAGGCATCAAAGGCCTTCACGAGAGCAGACCGGAAGTCCTTGCCGGGGTGTCCGTTGAGGTAGTCGAACGGCCCTGTGAGTACCTTGTCTTTCTCTTCTGACCATGTCCGACGGTTCTGGAAGAAGTCTTCGGTGGCGAAGCGGTTGGGATCTGGCGGGGCTGGAGGGGCGGACATGGTGGTAGATGGGAAGGTCGTGGTTCCGACAGAGGCTTTGCGGCTTCGTTGGCGTATGTGGCCTGGGACGGCAGACCCGGGGAACCAGTTGGTCTCGGGGACGCTCCGGAGAGCTGAGGGCAAGGTCGAGTTTGTAGACGAGGTGCGGGGTGGTATTGCGGCGGGCGACTGTAAGAAGGCGTTGCTGTGGCCGTTGATTTGGTTGTGGTTGGGAATCGATCCTGTCGCTGTAGAGGAAGAGGAGGGGGGGTTTTGAGCGGCCATGGCAGTCGGGACAGGCTGTTCTCTTTGGGGTGGCCGTCTGAAATGCAGCATGTGCCTGTGGGTTCTGGAAGGAATTGGTCGCCTACTTGGAGTGTTGCAATCGGTCCTCTTTCCGAAGGTCAAGTACCCAGGCCTGTGGTGGGGTCTCGTGTCGGGGGTTGACGCAGGTGACGACATGCGGTGCGTTCAGGCCCAGTGGAGCGAGTGCCTAACCGCCAACTAAAAGAGTTAGCTCTTTTTGCTCTGCTCGAGTACGCGTATGGATGCCATTGAGTGTCCGAGATCGCTCCGTGGAACATTGGGTGAGTGTGGCCAAACAGAGTCTATCGTCACTGCTATTTCCACTTGTTGGCTGGTCCAAATTTAAGACCAGGTGCTTGCTCGTCCTCAGACAGCGAGTGTCTCGGGACGATTCATGGCGGGGAAAATGAGATGCGGGGATACCTCGAGTCACCTCGCACCCATGGCATCGCAGCCTAATGGAACGGGACTTACGTTGACATCGATCAGTGGTGACTGGTAATTTTGAGCGTTCACTCAAGGGTCTTGAGACTGGTGTGCTGTGCGAACGTTGTTGTGTTTAGGGGGTCTCATCCCTCTGACGCTTCGCCATGGAAGACCAGGAGAGCTTTTGTACCCGGCGCTGGTGGACACGCCCGCAAACGAAGGCGTTTGCCCCCTGCATGATAAGAAGAAACGATGAACTTAGCTGCTCCCTCATTACCTGACGAGTTACTGGTTGATGCTAACTCGCATTGACAACCCCGACAAGTCAAAGAGTTGGACCGCAGCAAAGGCCGTTCGAGAAAGGGGGTCCGTGACCTCACAACCGCCGCGGCGGCCATTTTTTAAACCGCCTTCCCTGATCGCGAGTTGCCGTCGGTCGGGTGTTCGAGGTGGAGGTACATACATAGGTATGTACAAACTCCTCGCTAGATTTCCATGTTACCTCAAGCTTAAGCATTGAAGCTCAACGCTCCGAGAGATATTCTGCCAAGTTGATCTTGACCGGCATCCTGTCGAGATTTCCAAGGGAGAGTTTCAAAAACACACAGGTTCTGCACTCCCTTGCTTGTCAAGTTTGGTCCTGCCATCGGATTGGCAGGACCGAGACGGGAACTCTCAGAAGCTCAAAATTGAAAGCTGCTGGCTGTAAACGGGAACCCCACTTCCCCGGGCAGTCAAGCAGTCCCCTTGCTGACAGGTTTGCTCGTCTTCCGTACTGAGCCGGCCCACCTATCATGCAGGGTCCAGTTGTTATCACGCCGTTGCTGTGGCACCAGTTCAGTTGATTGACCCCAAGACCCGCCAATTTGGGTTCATGGACGGGAGCCCGGGACTCGGCAAGTTCGTCTGGAAGACTCGATGCTTTTTGCATTCTCAACGGCATCAAGGCCCAGATCGCCATTAATAACGCCCAATTGACATGTAGCGGCCGTGAGGTCTAGATTGTTTTTAACCACAACTCGGCAAGACTCTATCTTTCGTACTCGATACCGCCGCTTTCCCATCAACAACGCCGTTTTAACCGTCTGAGTCGCCTTTGCGCCCGTATATTTTCGCCAAATGATACCAACTTAGAAGCCCCGCGGTCGACGACAAACATTTTTGAACTCCCTCCTGGGAAGTATTTACGAACGATAGCGATAACCATCACGACTAAAGGTGTCGTTACGACTCGGCGGCTGTTTTGCGCATTTGCGACGAGATCGCGCAACGTATCCGGCGCGACAACAAATCTTCTCTCCGATCGGCCGAATCACATTCCATAATGGAGTCGCTCCTGTCGCTCGCCTTCGACAACCTGTCGTCTTTTGATGGCGGTAAGATCAAGAAAGGCCTGAAACAAGTCGAGGGTCTTCTCGCGCAGATCTGCCTCTCCGGCCCAAGCAGCCCAAGGAAACATACCACCGACCACGGCCGAGACCGAGAACAACCGTCGCGCAAGGTGCTCGCCGATCTCTCGGGCGACCCGGCCTTCCGCGAGTTCTTCAAACTACAGGAGGGATTCGAATGGAACGTCGCCCAGCGCCTGCTCACAACCCTCGACTGGCTGGTCGTTCGCGGCGGCGACGGCCAGTACGACCTCCTCATCGTCAATGCGCTGGACCTCATACAAGGCGCACTCCTACTCCACCCAGCGAGCAAAGCCCTCTTCTCGCGGAGCGTACACATGAATGTATGCTTGCCTCTCTTTCCCCCTCCCCTTACCACCCCCCACGAACACCCCCAAACTAACCCACCGCCACCAGCTCCTCCTGGACCTCCTCGAACCGATCAACTGCCCCGCCATCCAATCGGCCACCATCATCACGCTCGTGGTGGCCCTCCTCGACATGCCGCAGAACACGCGCGTGTTCGAGCAGCTCGACGGCCTGCTGACCGTCACGTCGCTCTTCAAGAGCCGCGAGACGGGCCGCGAGGTCAAGTTCCGCCTGACCGAGTTCCTCTACTTCTACCTCACCCCCGAGACCCCCTCCATCCCGCGCGCCGACGCCCGCCTGAGCGCCGCCGCCCCCGGGCTGCTGCAGCGCAGCCCTAGTAAGCTGGCCAAGGTGTTTGGTGCGAGTGGTGGGGCGGGGGAGAGGGACGGGAGGCAGGAGGGGGAGGATGATGGGACGACGCTGTCGGTGGAGGAGAAGAAGTTGTTTGTGGATCGCTATTCTGCCGGGTGTGGTGGAATGAGCTGTTGAAAGATCTGGATACGTATAAGCCGTTTGGGGGGGGTGTTGAGCTGAGCGTGAGGGACGGGCAAGTTGTTGGTCTTGGAGATGGATGTTCAGCCAATCTCCTGATTTTTGGGCCGGCTCCTTTTCTCTCTTATCCCTTCCCCCTTCCTACCGTTCCTGACCAGGCGTTGGTTCCCCTTTCTTCTGGTATCTGTCACCCTTGATGAGATTTTAATTTTGTTGGTCGGCGTTGTTTCCCTCTGTTCTTGCTCTCCTTTTTCGCGTCCTCAACGAGGGATGAGGTCCTGTTTGCATACTGTGCCGTCGCATGGCTCAGCGTTTCTTTGCTGGCGTATTGGGGCTGGCATGTTGGGTTAGGGGTCATGTTCTGCTGATGCATAGAAAGCATGGTGTTCCTGGAGGTTGTTTTGTTTAGATATTATACCATCATTGCTGCACAGCTAAGTTGTTAGAATTGAGCGCGTTGCGGTTTGACAGTGAGGCCGGGAGAAAGCCTTCGAATTGGACGATATTTGAATGCCACATACTCTCTATCAGCTTGCTCGCGGGTCCAGGTTATCAGGTATGTCCCGCTATTTTGATACAAATAAATCATTATCTTCGTATACAACGCCCATCTTCAACTCATCGCCATTTCGTCTCACTTCGGCCGTTCGCCAGGGCTCGGCATCCCGTCGCTGTATGGCGGCCATGTGGGGGACATCTGCCCCATCTCAGATCCATACAATTCATAGCGCTCCGTGGCGTCCTCGCTGTCGCGCGACCTATTCGTGCCCGGCGTGATGGCCAACCCGACTGGTGTTCGCTCCTCCTCCCTCAACCTCGAGTCGATCTCAACCGGCACCGCAATATCTCCCGGCCCATGCGGCTGCAGAGGCACGCCGCCACGGTCCAACCCGGGCGTCGTCATGGGCGACGTGTTGTGCGTCTCCGAGTACGGGCCAACCGCCGGCGCGGGCCCGAAGTAGTCCTGCGCCAGCCCGCCCCTCCCGCTCCGCGACATGGCATCCGAAGTCGCATCTGACATTGCCCTCCCACCACCCGTCGCACTCCCCCCAACAACCCTCCCAACCACCCCCGGTCGGGCCTCGGCCTGACACTACTCGGCCCCATCACCCATAACCTCACCACCACCAACCCCCTCCATCGCCTCAACAGCATCCCTCCTCCTCCTCCTCCTCACACACCACCACCACAACCCAACCCCAACCAGCGCTCCCACCCCCACCACCACACCCACCGCCACGCCCGCCGTCGCCCCAGCACTCAACCCCCCACCGCCAACATCTACCACACTGACCCCATTCCCCGTCGGCACGATCGGATTCTCGGCACAATGCGCCTGGCCCCCAATTAACGAACACGTCTTGCGCACATCACAGCACCCACCCCCCTCCGTCTCGGCACACGACCTCTCCCCCGTCTTACACCCCGGCGGCGGGATCAAGCCCGGGTCGATGGACGCGGTCGGCGCCGCCGTCAGATCAAACACGCAGCTCCCGCTGCTGCCGCTGCCGGCCGCGCACCGCTGGTTGTACTGGCAGCAGCCGCCGCCGAGGGAGGTCGGGCACTGGAACTGGGAGGTGCCCGTGCACACGCGCGGGCAGCACGCGCCGCCGGGGGTGGTGACGGTGCTGGTTGTGCCGGACGTGGTCACCGTGCGCGTCAGGTCGCATTGGTAGGCGGGATTCGGGACAGGGCGAGTCGCATCGCCGAGCCGATTGTGGCCAGCAGCCGGCGGCGCTGAGGTTGGGTGGGGTTGAATTATGCAAGCTGGGGGGGGGGGGGGGGGGCCTGTAAATGGGAGTTTAAAGGGGGGGGAGAGTATAACGGAGAGGGAAAGGGCGGAGGGGGTTAAGGGTTGGGGGGTTGGGGTGAGGAGGAAAGGGAGACACACTATTCGGTGTTTTTGCAGCATTTGCCCTCGCCTGGGACCACCGATCGAGTCGCCTGTCCGTGGTTGTTAGTGATGGGTTGTCGTTGAAAAAGGGGGAGGGTGAAGGGAGGGGGAGGTTGCCAACGAACATGGATGTAAACCTGGATTGCAGCCGCCTTCGCGTTTCTCCAGCATCGCATGCGCCGGACTCATGTGGTACTGTCGCGGCGACAAGACAGCGCCGGTCTCAACCGCCACAAACCGTTCATGCTGGTGCTCGGGCTCATGCGCGATGACGGCGCCGGCACCCGCAAGCAGCCAGCCGGCGGTGGCGGCGGTAAGAACCCCACTAAAAGAAACCATTGCGTGTAACTATGCGACAACCAGTCCTGAGTGAGTTGGGCTGCAACAAAGGGACGACGAGAGGCTCGCGCAAAGACGGGCGGCCGTCGAGGAGACGGGGCGTCACGGGTAATGACAGCGCTCAGCTGCGTGAGAGGAATGCGAAAGCCACGAATTTTGTTTGCTGAGCGAACAGCGAACAGCATCTTTTCTCTGTCAAAGACACCGGGCTCCTCCTCATGCAAGTCATCCGCAACGGGATAAGACAAGGGGTCTTCGGGCAATAGCCCCACCCCCCGTGCGACCCCCGGCGGGAGAGTCGGTGTTTGTGTCAGCCACCATGCCGGTCTTGAACCAATCGAAGGGCTTGCCGCCTTCCCGGACGGGAAGATCATTCGTCGCCGCCGACCACAAAGTTCGAGTGCAACGTGGAGGTACAGATTACACCAACAAAGAGGAGACTCACCACCCCCCTTGCCGTGTGTTGTCACGCCAAGATGGTGACTGACGAAGACAAGAACAGAACGACTTTATAGTGAGTTTCCAACACCAACACCTGGGTATCTCTTCCCCTCCATGCTTCCAACATACAACAACAACAACAACAACAACAACATCTATAACTACAATGTCCCTCCCCCTACAACCCCCACCCCCTATCTCCCCTGATCCGACAGCTTATCCATCCCCTCCCTCCACCTCGCGCCATACCTCCTGAGCGCCCAAATCGCTGCATTCCCCGTCACCAGCGCAAACAAGCCCACCATGGTACACAGCCACCCATTCCCCATAGCCTCGATGAGCGGCTGGGCAACCACACTCCCCACGCATGAAAAGATATTCCTCACAAAATTATTCAGCGCGATCCCACTGCTACTCCGCCGCGGCATAAACTCAGTCAACATAGTCGTCGTGGCCCCAAAAGACCAACATGCTTTCCCAGCCCAAACATAAAAATTCGCCACGCTCCGGCACCATAAAATGCACCCCCCTTCTCCGCGGTTCCACCCATACCAGACCATGGGCCGCCGGATACAGCGTCGCCGCCAGGCACATTATTCTCCTTGGGCCCTATCCTCGGGCAAATACAGCAACCCGCCGTCCCCATCGTACCTGCCGGCGCGGCGGGCCTCGCGCGCCATGATGTAGTCGATCCAGCCGGCCGCCGAAGGCGGAAGGCGAGCACGTAGCCGAGGGAGGGGGCCAGGTAGCAGGCGCCGAGGGGGATGGGGGCGAAGGCGTAGGGCGGGGCCGAGAAGGTTGGCCTGGATGGAGATGTTGAGGATGAAGAGCGAGAAGAAGGCGATGGAGGCCCGAGTAGACGGTGATGAAGACGGGCGGCTGGCGGAGGTAGAGCACCACCGAGAGCGGGTCGATGAAGAAGCGCTTGAGGTGGGCGGCGGTGGTGGCCGTGTGGTGTTTGATGGATTGGGTGGTGGAGATGCGCTGGAGGGGGTTGGCTGGGTCGTTGTTGGTTGGGGTTGAAGTTGTTGCGGGTGGTGGTGATGGTCGAGCGAGGGTCTCGGGGAGGCAGAAGAGCAGCATCAGCAGCATGACGCCGCCGTAGATGGAGAGGAACCACATTGTCGCGCGCCAGCCGAAACCTTGGGTTAGGGCGCCGCCGATGATGGGCGAGCATAGCGGGCCGACCAACGGACCAAGGTAGAATATGCCCATGGCCCGGCCTCGGTTTGCTGGCTCCCAGATATCGGCGATGGTGCCGGCCCCCACGGCTTGTGACGGATGCAGAAGCGCCGCCGCCGAGAATGCGCATGACGAGCAGCATGGAGATGTTGACGCTTACGGCGCTGATGATAGAGAAGATGAGAAAGAGAGAGAAGGAGATGATGTAGATGGTCCGGCGCCCGAGTGTCTCAGAGAACGAGGACCTGTTGCTGGTCAGAGGGTGGAGGCAGGGCCACACGGGATCGAGACTACGTACCACCACAGCGGAAATATGGACATGGCCAGCAAATAGAAGGATATCGTCAGGTTGGTGACCGTCTGGGAGACGTTCAGGTCAACTGACATGCCGGGAAGGGCAGCTTTCCAACAACATCAAAATCAGCCGCGGCACTACAAGTTTTGTGGGAGAAGGCCACTCACGCATAAAGATGCCAGATCCCATGGGGGCACCAGCAGCCGCCAAAGCAACAATGGCGGTAATGGTCCATTTTGTTTTATTCTTGTACTTGTATGGCTGCTCAACTTCTGGTATCACGGCTAAGCGTGCAAGAAGCCCCCTACGCTGAGCGCGCGGGATCGTGTTAGTGTCGGCAAACGATGTCCCTCGCTCGCTTTGGGGACGGCTGGCGGTTTTCTCCGGGTTTGAACTCCCCGAATTCCCTTGCTGCTCTTCAATGTCCTCATCGATTTCGTCCTCGCTGCTCTCGGTAAGTACGTGCTGTTCTTTACCTCCGGCATGGGCCCGGTGACTCGGCGCCGCTCCGGGGGTCCTCCCGGTCTGGGCACAGCGAAAGAAGCCGGGCTGTCACCTAATCCGGCTCGGGCCGACTTGTCATCTGGTGTAGTTTCGCCACTCGTCATGGCTTGAATGAAATTTGAGATTAATCAAAGAAGAGATAGGTTCAGTGGGAGGGTAATTTGGAGTCATTACACCTTCTGATTTTACACAAAGTTATGAGGAAGGGAACCAGATATCCAAAAATGGGAAACCAGAAAAACTTCTCGAAGGCACTGGGGACTTTTGTGGTCTCGCGGGTCTGTTAGAGCGATGGCGGTAGTTACAGTGAGGCCGGAAATAAGCAGGCCGGCGTAAACTCGCCAAACTCGCCCGGGGTTGGACCTCGGATGCAGACGGTCGAATCCTGGGGGCGAGCCGGAAGCCGAGCCATTCTGACCTGAGTACGGGAACAGCCTCTGAGGGCGCGCGTGGAGACAGTTCAAGGATCAAGCAGTGGTCAGTGGAGAGAAACAAGCTTCTCATATTCGTAATCTGTAAAGCTACCAGAGCTCGAATGAGACGTTCGGTCCGCAACAGAAAAGTGAGGACACTCGTCCTCCCCCCTAACCATCACCTCGACGGGGCTCGGCTCTTCGGCATTAAAACTGCAAAAAATAAGAAGAGTCCAGGCCTTCCATCCTAGCGGAACTGCGAACGGTGCCCCGCCTGCATGCCTTCCCGGCTTCGGATAGGGGACGGATGACGAACCTTGACCCGGTATGTCACCATCATCATCCCGATTCTACGTCGTAGTGGTGGCCCCGGATGAGTGGTCAATGGCCAGAGATGAACGAACGGGTGAGTACGAAGAAGGGTCAGTGCTCGATGGTCACAGGACGCGAGGGCTCCATGGGCACCTGTTTTATAGAGGACGAGAGTGTTGGTGATCAAAAATCCTCCCACCAAGAAAAAGCGAGAGTTGGGAATTGGGAGTCGCACCACTTATATGATGGAGTGAAGTTCAAAAATTGTTCCGCTCCAAAAGGCTCGTCCTCGCATGCAAAGGAGAAAAGCGTTAGTCCATGTCTTACTTTTTGTTGGCTGCCGCTAAATCCTTGCTATGCAGACTCCACCCCCGCAAACCCACTTTATTTTTCAATTGAAGAGCGCAAGACTGATTGACCAACACCATTCACGGCTCGCTCCGGGGCCGGACCTCGCTTCGCCGGTGACTAACACCCCCAACAACGACAGTTCAAAAAGACGGCAAAAATCTTGCGAGACCCACTGCGATCGAGGGCGACAACAAACACCAAGCCATGTCACTAACCAACGCTTCTCCCTCTGACGCCGCCCAGGCTGCCAAGTCGGCATCCCATGTGCTCGCGACTCTTTCGGCCGATGCCCGGAACGAAGCCCTCGAGGCCATCCACGCCGGACTAACTGCCGCCCGGGATGACATCCTCGCCGCCAATGCTCGCGATCTCGAGCTGGCTCAGAAGGCCGCAGCTGACGGCAAGTTGAGCCAGAGCCTCGTCTCCCGCCTCGACCTAAGCAGGAAGGGCAAGTGGGAGGACATGCTCAAGGGTATCCTCGATGTGCGCGATCTCGAAGACCCCGTTGGCAAGGTTACCCTGCGCACCCGCATCGACAACGGCCTCGACCTTGAGAGGGTTACATGTCCGATCGGTGTGCTCCTCATTATCTTCGAGGCCCGTCCCGAGGTCATTGCCAACATCGCCGCCCTCGCCGTCAAATCAGGCAATGCCGCCATCCTCAAGGGCGGCAAGGAGTCGACCGAGTCCTTTATCGCAATCTCAAACGTCATCTCGGCCGCCCTTGAAAAGTCACAGGTCCCCAACGGCGCCATCCAGCTCGTCACCACCCGCGATGTAATCCCACAGCTGCTCGCCCTCGACAGCCACATCGACCTCGTCATCCCGCGCGGGTCCAACGACCTCGTCCGCTACATCAAGAACAACACTCGCATCCCCGTGCTCGGCCACGCCGATGGCCTATGCGCCATCTACCTCGAGCAGTCTGCCGACCCATCCATGGCCGCTGAGGTCATCTTGGACTCCAAGACCGGCTACCCCGCCGCCTGCAACAGCCTCGAGACCCTCCTCGTGCAAGACGCCGCCCTCCAAGCCCACCTCCCCGCCGTCGCCACCGCGCTGGCAGCGAAGGGCGTCGAGCTGCGTTGCGACGCGCAGAGCAAAGCCGCCCTGGCGGACACGCCCGGCCTGACGCTCGTGGACGCGACCGACGCCGACTTCTCGACCGAGTTCCTGGCGCTCACGCTGGCGGTCAAGACGGTGTCCTCGCTCGACGACGCCATCACCCACATCAACACGCGCGGCTCCCACCACACCGACTGCATCCTGACGGCGTCGGCCGAGCAGGCGGAGCGCTTCATGGCCGCCGTCGACTCGGCGGGGGTGTACTGGAACGCGTCGACCCGCTTTGCCGACGGCACCCGCTACGGTTTCGGTACCGAGGTCGGCATCAGCACCAACAAGATCCACTCGCGCGGCCCGGTTGGGCTGGAGGGGCTGATGATTTACAAGTATAAGATTCGCGGGCAGGGACAGGTGGCGTCGTCGTATGGGGACGGGAAGAAGCCGTTTTTGCATCAGAGGTTGAGTTTGGAGTAGGGGGGTGAAAAGGGGCGCGGGAAAATAAAACCAAAAAAGAAGAATAGAAGGGTTAGATACCCATCTGATATACCAATCTGCCGTGCCATTCTGTATTGAGCAAAAGATCAACTGCCAGTGACTTTAAATCAGCAGCCCCTTTAGCAAAATTATTGTTGATTCATCTGATCGATCGGCTGAAACCATTCCTCCCCCCAAAGTGACGATGGAGGATAGACAAGCGCTAAACTCAAACTTACACAAGTAGTAGCAGTCCATCCACCACACACACATCACGTATCAGACATAATGGACACCTCACGCTTGCCAAACACAAAGCCCGGGGTGAATCAGCACATCCACCAAATCAAAGGGAGCAAACCAACAATTCAAGAACACCACATGGCCATTGCATCGGCCCACCCTAAAACCAAACACAAAACACAGACAGAGAAGAGAGAGGTATAAAACATGTGACATGCTCCCACCCAAGAAAGCGCCGCCCTCCGCCCCTGCCGTCGTCGCCTCCAGTCTCCAAAAGAGAGAGAAAAGACAAGAGAAAATAAAAAATAACAACCATACGCGCGCAGTGGTCATGATCCGTTCCCTCATCAATAACTCGTCAACTCATACAGCCTTCTTCCTTCTGCTTCACTCTCCCTCGTCGGACGCGCAACGTTCAAGGCCATCCATCCATCCATACAACCCCTCGACAGGCAGGTAATGCCCCTGGTAGAAGCCACTCCCTCGCGGCTCCCCGCAGGCATGACCGACCGATCCGTAGCACAGCTACCTCGCCTCACTCCCCCCTCCGCTGCCCATACCCCCCACCACCATGATACCCGCCCCCACCACCACCACCACCCATCTTCTCAATTGAACTCATGATCCCACTCCGCAACCCCAACCCCGACCCCGGCCGCGGCAAACCACCACCACCCCCCACCACCAGTACCATGGCCCACCGCGGCGCTCTTGGTGCGCTCATGCGCCATACGCCCGATACGGCTCTCGGCGGGCTTGCCCAGGCCCAAGCCCATGGAGCCGCCGGGGGCACGCAGGCCCGAGGCGCGGAAGCTGGTGGGCCCCGTCGACATGCGGAAGCTGGGGTTGCCGCCGCCGCCTGCTCCTGCAGCTGTGGTGGTGCCGGGGGTGCGCGCGCTGGTGGCGAGCGAGGACGATAGTCTCCTATTTGGCGTCTTTGCGGTTACCGGGGGCGGGGCTGGGTGTTGTTGTTGTTGCTGTTGCTGGTAGTGTTGCTGCTGCGCATAGTGTGACTGGGCAGGTGCGGGAGCGGGGGTAGGTGCGGGTTCGGGCTCCTCGGGCACGCTCGCGACAAAGCTCTGCTGCATGTTCATCATTTCCTCGGCCAGCATGACCAGCTCGCCCTTCTCGACGCGCTCGCGCTCCAGCAGGACCCGCAGGTCGGCGTTGTCCGCCTGCACCGTCTTCAGCACGGCCTCGACCTTCTCCACCTCGGCCTCGAGCTCCCGGACTCGCGCCGCGTCGCGCGCCTTGTCCGCGCGCCGCTCCTCCTCCATCTCGGCCAGCCGCGCCGGGTCGATGCCGCCGCGGTTGTGGTTGTTGTTGCTGTGGCGGAGCTCGTCGTTGTCGTGGTTGAGCTGGTCGACCTGTGCCTGCAGCTTGCGCACCTGCTTCTCCCAGCGGTGTTCGTAGCTCTTCTTGAGCGCAGCGACCTTGGTCTCGTGCTTGCTCTTGTAGAGCGCGTGCAGCTCGCGCGCAACGCGCTCGACAGCGATTTCGACTTCCTTGTTCGACGGGACAGGGGACCGGTTCTCGACGCCCGACGCCGCCGCAGCTGCGGCGGCCTCGGCGGCTGGCCTTACCGGCGCGCATGCCCGCCATCTTGCTCTCGGCGTCTTGCGCCATCATCTCGGCAGCCTCGCGGCGCTTCTCGGCCTCGTCGAGCTTGAACTCAAGCTCCTCCCGCTCGCGCTGGCTCATGACGATCTCTTCTCTGACCTTGCGCAGCACCGTCTCCATCTCGCGCCCGCGCCGCTCCCAGCTGTCCTTCTCCGTCTGGAGCGCGCCCTGCACGCCCTCCACCTCGCGCAGCTGCTCCAGGCACTCGCCTACACGCTTCTCGGCATCCCCGACGGCCGTCTTCAGCGACAGCACCTCAGCTTCTTTCCCGCTGAGTGAGGCCTTGAGGCTGCTAATCTCAGAGAGGAAGCCGGATTTAAGCGACTCCAGCTCGCGCGGCGTAATGGTGGGGATGCTGCGCGGGGTTGGCGCTGGAGGGATATCAAAGTCAAGGAGGTTCACGAGGTTGTTGCGCTGTGGCGTGCCCACCCCGTTGGGCGTCCTCGCCGACTGCGCAGTCTGGCCACCCCGCCGGGACGGCGTTGGCTGCGCGCCGTAGGTCCCGTACCGCATTTGCTCGGTGAAGTCCATCAGGTTGGTGGTGCTGTTGCCGTTGTCGTATGATCCGTTGCCCCGCGGTGTCCTCAATGCCGATGAGTCCTCTGACCTGCCGCTGGCCCGGGGGGTCGACCCGCCCGTGGCCGAAAACTTGGTTGGGCTGTCGCTGCGCGTATTTGCCAGCATGGTGAGGTTCGGGACAGTCGAGAATGCGCTGAATGTGCTCATCATGGTGTCGTCTGCGGCCGAATGGTCCTCCTCGGCAATCCGGCTCTGGTCGTAGACAGCCTCGTGCCCCATCGACATGGTATGGTCACCATCGTGGTCCACACCATCTGGGTCGTCGTGCATGGCATTGTCGTCGTCCTCAAAAATATCGATAACGTGCTTCAACCCCTCGTTCTCCCGTACCTCCTCCCGTACCTCCGGCAAGCTGGCCTGACGCTCGCCCGAGGAGCGGCGCTCATCCGAGGGCCGCCGCGGCGACTCGCTGCGGGAAGACCCCGGTTGGCTGATCTTGACCGGGAACCGCTTGATCGGGGCCGACTTCCGCGGGCTCTGCGGTAACGGCGGCGGGGGCATGCTCTTAGCGGGCGACGATACTTCTTCGGCGGGTTGGGGCGACGGCGACTGGCTCTGGGTCTGTGCCTCAATCTGGCTTTGCTGGTGCTGCTGGAGTATCTTGAGCGGTGAGAGGCCGCTGCCCGAGATTATGCGGGATCCCGGACGGGCCTTTGGCGGTGAGGGGCCGCGCTGGGTCGGAGAGGTGATTTCATCCCTGATGTGCGACATAAACGGAGAGGAGCTGTCGGGTTCGTCATCGTTGTTGCGGTTCTCGGTGTTGTTATCGGCGGGTTCCCGGGCATCGAATGCTCCGTGGCGTAGACTCGCCGGGGTCGTCGAGTAGTTCAGCGCCGCGCTTGGGGTTGGCGTTAAGGGCGCGGCCATGGTTGTACGAGAGCGTACAGATCGTACAGATCTGTAATTAAAAAGAAAGCCAGTGGCCGACCGACCGTTTATTCTCGTAGGGCGAGTCTTAGATCAATCGCGCGAGTCGTGATCCGTGTTTGCCAAATCAGAGTCTAGCGCTTCTTCAGAGTGTGTCAGTTGTGGGTTTGTGCCGAAGTGGATGTTTCTCCCTTTCTAGGAAATTGCTTTTATTGCGATCGCGCCCATTCCCCACCAATGAACGGCGAAGCAACCGGCTGTGGCTGTTTACCGTTGTGGCCCAGCAACGGTTAAGCCACGTGACTGCCCCTTTCCGTATCCAACCGAAACCCCGTCATGCTATCGGCTGACCCATCCAGTTTGATATCTTTTTGAAACGACTGACTTCTAATAACTAGTAACGATCTCAACTGATCGGTAGCTCAAACAACCCGTACTCTCAATCATTATCAAGATGTTCATAAAAAGCACAATATTATTGCCAATCATAAATTAAATGTTCCAATTTACCTAACTGGCACATAGTTCCCCATTCTTGTGTTGGAAAGGCAAACATCATTGCTGACAGAATGAGATAGATAGCCTTTCATGAAACATAAACATCATCTCTTACGTTGCGGTCGGGAAATTCTCAGAAAACCGTAGCCTCGACAGGGTTTCGCTTCCGCCCGATGCGAGGGCAAACCAATGAAGAAGCAAGGAAGAACGCGCTGAGAAGCAAGGCAGGGAGCGAGGGCGTAAATACTGCAACGAAACACTACACTATGAACACCTGTAACCGTCATCCCGACTGTGTCGGCAACGCGTGAAGTTTCAAGAAATCTACCACACCGGCAAGTCCCCTGTATATCTCAGGCTGGAAGGCCCCTCTTTAACAAAGTTCCCTTCATCAAGTCGTTACCAATGGCAAAAGCAACATCTCCAAGAAAACAAAAGGCACCAAGCCAGTGCCCTTCATTTCCACCCTTGCACCCGCAACTTTTAACGCGCAGTCAAGCAAAGTCGTTTGTCATAAGCGTCATAAGCAAGGAAAAAGGAGGAGCAGAATACGGGAGGAAAGACGAAAAAAAGAACTCTGCTCATGCCGGCCCCATCCTGCCATTGCCCCCGAAAAAAAAAAAAGAAAACGGGGGGTTTGTCAGGATTCCCGGTTTTGTTGTTTAGTTTGTTCGTTGTTCGTCCCTGTCGTGACCATTACAGCCGCCTAGGATCGTAAGCAGGCGCTGCGTCTTTTTCTTTCCGGCGCGAGAAATTGAAAAGAGGTCGTCATCCGCCGAGCGAGCGGAAAGAGCCCGGCTTGAAGGTGCTCATTAGATTAGACCCAAACCCATGCAACCCGTCATCCATCAAGCCCGTATACAACCATTATCAGGACATCGAACAAAAAGAATCGTAGCTCGAAGGAGCATCCCCGAGAACCGGGCTGGGAGGCTTAATCCTCGTTTCGAAAACGGATACAGAAAGGGTGTTTGGCGGCACATGTTCATAGTCCCAGCAGCAGGAACTCTTCACCACAATTGGGTCTGTCGCTTCACCTGCGCCGCTGCGCTGGGATCGCAGTCGCCGGTTGTGGCATCTGTGTATTGTACGTGGGGGAGGGAATCGAACCAGAACCGTCGTGCGCGGGCTTCCGGCGCTTCAAGTCACCCTGGTCGTCATCGTCGTCCCGTCGCCTCTTCGTTGAGGTCACTCCGTTCAGGGCCGGTGCTTGGGTTTGATACCCGTTTTGTATCGAGCTAGACAGGTCACCTTGGCTAGCATAGACATCATTGGTCGATGAGCCGCTGGCAGATCCCCGCTCGTTGCTGATTACGCTGTACAGGTTGCTCGACGTCTGCCCTACACGCGGCGGTGTGCTGTATCCTTGGGGCGCATAGTAGGGCTGCGGCGCGGGAGCAGTCCTCGGCGTGGCACGCCCTGACCCGGACTGGTGCGGGGAGCCCGACATGTCAGACGGTAGGTGGGAGTGCTCGTTCTGCAACGACGCAACGGGGGGGGCATTGTAGTTGTAAGAGCTCCGACTCGGATCGTACGTCCCGCTATCGTGGGTGTACTCGCCGTCATGCTCGTGGTCCGCCTCCTCCTCGGCTCCTGTTCCGTTCTCGCCTTGCCCAGCATGCATGATACCGTTTGCCGGCTTTGTCTCCACGTGCTCACCGTTAGGGCCGGGAGTGCGATTTGACGGGGGCCCCATCTCACTCTTGACGTAGTTGTTGATTGGGTACATGGGCCTTCCTTGAGGGGCCGGGTTCGGGGGCGGGTAGGAGGAAGCGGCAGGTGCGGACGGCGCCTGGTACATGTGGCGGGAATTTTCGTAGGCCTGGGTAGCCGGCGGGTAGTTCTGCATGCTCTGAATCGATGAACCCGGAGGGGTAGCCGCCGGTGTGTTGGGTAATGAGCGGGCGGCGTTGTGGCTCAGGCTGGTGTCGATCGAGATCGGGTTAGGTCCTTGGCCGTTGCCCATCCCTTGCTGGTTCCATTGGAAGTTATCAGAACCACCCATGCTACCCATCACGGTCGAGGCGCTGGTGGGCGGCGTGGGGAACGAATGGGCACGGTCAAGCGACGGACGAACAACGGTATGATGCGGGGGAATGCCGGAGTGGGGTCCCGGCAATGCCAAGGAGTGGTGGTGCTGCTGCAGCGACGGCAACCCTTGAGCAGGCTGAGAAGGCCGCATGTTGTCCTGTTTCCGCTGTGCTGCCGCGGCCATGACCTGGTTTGTACGACTCCCAACGGCGGTACCCGGCGGGCAGAGCAGACTACCAATGTTGTGCACAAACAGCGGGTAGAGAAGCTCCGTAATCTTCTCCTTGTTCGCAAAATCTAGCGCACGATCATAGGGGATCCTGTAACCGCCTTGTAAGCGAAATTCGGCGCGTGGACAGGGTTCGGAACGGCGCAACTTACCATACTCCTTTCAGATGCATGGGGCCGATCTTGACGACATGGCGGACCTTCTCGCTCTTCAGAATGCCGTCACGTCGGCCGCGTGTCATTCCCGCCACGTTGAGTAGCTTCGTGCCGTTGATCATGGCATTATCTGGTGAAAAACAATACCGGTCAGTTGGGCGGCAAATAGGAGGCAGGAACACCTCAAAACTTACCTTCCCTGCGGGCGACGCAGATGCCCCTGGCCTCGACTTGAAAGCAGAGCGAGCCCTCGTCCTCCCAGAGGGTCGCAGTAACGCGCGGCTTCATGCCAGGAGGTTGAATCTGGCCGGTGGTGTCAAAGCCAGCCGAGTACGACGACGGACCCATGCCCTGTTGGCTAACGCCCGGCAGGGGCAACACGGGCTGTGGCGCGTTCATTGGGTTGGAAACCGGCGGTCCTGCAGGAGGCGTCAAGCCATTGGTGTAGGCGTACTGACTCCCGTATTGGGGCGGGGGGTATTGACCAGGACCGGGCTGCAACAGAGGCGGCTGAGAGTGCGGGTGCGGATGTTGATGAGGGTGTTGGTGCTGGTGCGTGTAGGGGGATGTCACAGTCTGCGGCGGCGGTGCCTGACCGGCGGACATATGTTGAGGGTAGTACATCTCGGTCCCTTGGCTGTTCATCGCTGGGTAGTGTTCGTAAGGGCCCTGGCTGTGGGACGGGGGCATCGAAGACGCCGCGAGCGCGGGCGAGAGAGGTCCTGGCGTCTTGGGTCCGTTGGTGGAGGCGGCTGTGGTGAAGGACGATTGAGAGCCGAGGTTGGAGCTCGACGCTGACGATATAGAGCCAACCCGGGGCGACGAGGTGCTCGACGAGTATGCCTGGGTCACGTGGGTAAGAGCCAGGGACGGCAGTCTCTCGCTATACAACGAACGCGGAGCGTCTTGGTGATAGTACGATCCGTCCGTCGAACCCCGGGGTTGCTGCTGAGAATTGGAGGGATCCAGCTTTTCGGTTTCTTGCCGCAAATGGCGAGCGTCTATCTTTTCTGTTTGCTGTGGCGTTGGGCACTATCGAACGGTGCAATGGCGAAAGAGACAAAAAGTCGGTCGAGCGTTCAAGTTGGGGGGGCGTGGGCTTCAAATAGGCAAACGAAAATCTCAACAGCGAGGGGATGGGTCAAGTCCAAACGTCTTGATGCCCTGGGAGTGGATGGATGTCGGTAACACGAATTCCCTGTCGATCTGACGTCTTCTCTGCGGCGCCGAGCTGTACGTATGTTCGTAGTGGGATGCACTCTCCTGCGATCCAGACACGCTGATCGGTAAATGTCGGTCCGTAGAAACTACACGCAAGTCATTCGTTAGCAGATGTTAAACGCTTGAGGCAGACTTGAGGCAGACTATTCCCGGTTGCGTCTTGTAATCCTCGCGCATCCAGCTGCAGGTCGCAAAACCCTGGCTAGGAAGGAGCCGGGAAACCAGAGGCAAAAAAACGACGAGATGGGATGAACAACGGGGCGGGGGACAGGCACACACGGAGCGGGAAGCACGCACTTGGGATAATTGAACCTCACCTTCCTCGCACCTCAAAGTCGTCCGCCTCGGATCCGGAATTAGAAGAGAGGTCGGCAAGGTGTGAGGAGGAAGGAGGAGGAGGAGGACGAAGGGAAACGGCCTGATTTAGGTGGAGGGAGGTTCGAGAGACGATCAGCGAGCAACGAGAAAACAGAACGCAGGCCCGGTCTGCCGTCCCGGCCCTGTGCGATGTACACCAACCTGGCAGTTACAGTGGGCAGTGACATGGCAGCCGCTGTTGCCCCCCCTGTCCGCTCGCCAGCCGCCAGCTTGGCCAGTCAAGGGGGTCGGAAAGCACCCACTACGGGAGAGTGTCTGGGTGGATCCTTGGCCGAGAGCAGGGTCGCAATCGAGAACAATCTCGACTTTCAATTCTGCACTGTGTTATGTGTTAGCGAGCAAGGGCCAACAAACAGCGAGGTGGTTCTGTTCTGTCTGTGTGCGTTTCCCCACACAAGCGTTGGTTGGGCATCTCAAGTCCGCCAACATCACCAACTTTCTTTTCCTCCCATTGCGCGCGCAATACATGTGCAGCCGATTACTTTTGAGGCAATGGAAATATCGGTAGCCAGGTGCTTAACGTAGTACTCAGAACTCCGCTTCCCTCCCTCTTAGCGTTTTTTTTTTTTTTCAGGCAGCCCGCCCTCACCGGGCCTCGTTTACTTGCGGTGTCGGCATACAATCGGTCCAAGGCGGCGAGTTCGGGACCAGATTCAGACGGGCTGGGGCGTGGTGCGCTGTTTGAACCTGGCTTGGGCAAGGGTTTGTGAACAAGGGTTAGAAGACAACGAGGTTGGGGCTTGGCTGCCGGTGCAGGGGAGGGGTAATTGAGTGGCTCGAGGGCGTGTGCATAGGGTCCAGGTTTCCATAAAGTGCGAGTTTCCCAACGTAAAACTGTGCAATAAGAGGTGGGGTTAATCTTGCGGGCAAGAGACGGGAGGAATGGGCCTGAAATGGTTAGCGCAAAGTGCGTGGCTGCCCTAAACACACAGTTGCAAGTTTTCAGACCAATCTGACAGGTCGGCTTGAATTGGCTGAGCTCAGATCATGATTGAGCGCTCGAGTCCTTCTCTCCCCGAAGCTGAGCCAAGCAACGAAGGGCATCTCTGAGGCCCCCAAAAGTCCGGGTCGAGATGGTTTTGAGGCTTCTCACTTCTCATTGATTACAGTTTTATACAAAGTATTTCCTCAACCGGCCGGCTGAATCTGTTCGCCGAATTGGCTGCTGATTCCCACCCAGAAGGTAAATCGGCGTGGTATTCGTTTCCGCTGATCGTTCAATCTACCAACACTGTGATACTATCTCTAGCTTTCATCAAACAGCGAGGGCCAGATCGGTTCCCGAGTCCCAACGGCTGCAAGACATGGAGCAGAAATCTCCGATTGACTCCATGCAAGTCTGTCGATGCAGGGCAGGCTGCGTTTCAGTCCCTCGCCCTGTTTCTTGGACCTCGGCCTTTCATGTGCCAGTGCTGTGCCAAGATGTCAACTGACTCCGTTGTGTGCAGATTAATTAGGTAGTTAATGGCCATACCTGAACAGATCAACGCTTGTCTGTAATTACTCCGTACCACTGCGCAATCAGCGAGATGGCTCAACGGCCGACCGTTGTCATTGACGAGACATTTGCAACCTCCAGGAAAAGGAGGCGTCGAGCCAGACACTCCCGGGCACTCCCACCCACTCCCCCTTCCTTTCATCCCCCCAGGAATCATGTCCGAAGAGAGACTTCTTCCGGGCCCCACCACTTTGGTATCTGGTGGCGTGGTAAGCAAGACGCTTTCGCTTACCTCCCTTCGTCGTGGCTACCGGGGACTGGCTCAGGCAAGGGTCAGCCGACGGCCAGGCCCGCCCCAGGCAGCTTGCTGGCTCAAATGCTCGATCCAATTCCAGCTCGTCAACCGACCTGCTGGGGAGGATTGTATTGCGATTCGCTTGATTTCCGCACTTGTCTCAGACCGACAAGTTGGTCTTCAGCCCCCCTCCTCGCTCAAGGAAGCCAACGGTGCTTGAGCTGTGGTACACCGCAGCGCAGGGTCCAACGGCGGGACCGAGGACACGCAGAACCGCCGGGCCCTCATGCTGTGCCCTTCTCAACTGCCGTGCTGGCAGCAAGCCGGCTGGTGATGAACCTGCAGAGACAACGTGGGTGAAGCGGCGCGGGAGCGTCTCGTCTCGTTAGAGTTCAATGCCCTCCCATGTTCAATTCCCCGGGCCGCAGCCTTGCCATGCTTCTGCGTCCGGCATAATGAGATGCGGCGCCTTGAGCCTCAACCCACATGGCCCACTTCATTCGGAGGCGACATCAAGCAAGAGAAGAGACACTAGGCACTACCCAGCATCGGGAGACCCGAGCCAACGGACCGCATTCTCGGGCGACCCGACACTTCGACAAGAACTAAGCTGACCCCTGACTCGTGACTCCGGGCATGATACGAATAACTCCCTCGCCCAGGAGCCGCGGCGCAGACAAACGAACGCGAGGAACCTGGTTTGCTCGATATGACCAGAGTGACACAGGCTAGTTAGCTAACTGTGCCGCAAAAGTGAGCGCAATTCTCCATCAGAATTGTCAAAAGTGGCCCCGTCAGCCAATATCAAACAGAAGCAGCCGAGAAGAGAGATCTCCTATCCAGCCACACGACGATCTTTCCCTTCTCCCGTCACCTTCCCCCGCACTGTGAGAGTCGCAAACACGCCTCCAGAAAAAGCACCTCTGCAGCGCTTTCCCGCGCCATGCGAAACGGCCACAGCCGCTCTCTTTCGGGCTCAAGCAACATGTCAAAATCCGTGTCCCGCGTTCCTCCAAATCAAGACTGAGACTCCGGATCGACGCCCGTCTTCAAAAAAAAGAAACGGGCCATCAGAAACACTGGGTCTCGGCTTGCAGGGTACCCCGATCCAGACTCCCCAAGCTCAGCAACACTTGCAGACGGGCCAATGCACAGCGGTTAGGTGCTTGTGCGTCCACCTCTAATCGTCGGGCCGGCCAATCACGGCCATGTCTGATGGCGCAGCTCTCGCTGGGTTGCTGGGAGAGGGGTGCTAATTGTGTTTCAGCCGCTTGCTTCTGGCAAGGCGTACCGGACGGTGCGCGACCTCGCCCGCACGGCGACTCGACCTCTCCGCGTCATGGCCCCGGTTGAAGCTCGCTCACGGCCAACCACCTGATGAAACATGTCGACGACGCTTGTCGAGATCCCTCCCGGCTCGAGCAAGACATCTCCCCCCCAGCCAATTTCGTGCAAAAGCCCCCGGGAAGACCTCCACCCCGCATGGTCCTGTGCAGGCTTCCCGCCCGGAAGCCAACCCAAGACTAGGAATTTCGACGCCTCTGAACCCGACCGGCCCGGAGAATGTGGGTGTCGTGATAGCAAAGCCTTCCTTTCGGGTTTGGCTTGGACTTCCGCGCCAGCTCCCGGTGGGTTGTGGTACCAAAATCGCCTTCAGTCACCCAATCAGCGTTCACCACGTCTCAAGCCCACACCCACAACGGGAACCCCTGGGGGGCCAGGCTGGCGCTCTCCTCATTCAATCTTTTCATCCTTCGACGAGGGCCAGCTGTGTGCTGTCATCACGTCTTTCGGGTTCGGATGAAGACAGAATCCGCAATCCCACTCTGGGCTCTTGTTATCAGGTAAAACTGTCGCGTCTTTTTCGCCACTCATGCCTCTCATGTCTCTCAGCCCTAGCTACCCACTCTCGAGCCACTACCCCAACCCTTCGGGAGGACGACAGGATCATGCACATCATACATCGGGCATCGCAAACCCTTTGCACACCTGCTGCCTGCGGTTCCTATTCGCTGGGAACAAGCTGCACGCGCGGACCGTTTTCCGCCTTACATGACAGCCAGGATGGGGAAGGCGGTGGGTGGCACAGCCGAGAGGAGATGGTGTGGGGGCTGGCGCGAGAAGCTGCCAGACTCACAGTGCGACTCGTCACAGAGGAAGCTTGCCTGCCATTCATTGAATTATTGCTCCTTCTCAGCAACTTGAGCTTCAACACCAAAAGGCCCCTGTATCGGCCGTTGTCCTTTACCACGGCCTCGATTTAGCCTCTTCCAGTGATATTGGCGCTCCTTCCTCACTTCCGACTCGGTCCCGCGATCGACATTCAATCCCCGTTGGGGAAATACCTCCTGTATTCATATCTCGGTTCTTCGTATCGACATTCCAAGTGTCTCGCTCACAGGGCCAAAGTGGTGAAAAGATCTCCCAAGCCTTGGTCGAGTTCAGTGTCTCCAGGAAAACATTTCCTCAACAACATCTGTGTGTTTGACAGCTCGAAGAAAGCATGCAACTTGAACGCTCACTCTCAACGGGTACAACTTCCCGATCAGAAAAATGCCTCGGAAACATCGCACTGTGCTCTACTCCCCCGCTCTCACCGCTACTCTTCGGCCCGCTAAAGCAACGCCCTCTTTTGGCTCCCGTAGAAAGTCGCGCTTGACACGCGGTCCCGTCGGCGAACATCGAACGGCGCTTGCCAATGAAAAGGCGCCAAAATGGCCTCCCCTAACCGCTCCCATTGCTCCAACCATGGTTTACCTCGTGGCCCTGGTCCCGATCAACAAAAAGTGTGTTCAAACCTTCAAACAGTCGGCCAAGGAAAACATTGTTCTTGACTCGAAGCAGTTTGGTGAAAGACTGATTGCTGAGTCTCCCGTTTGGATGTCTTAACCAACTCCGAAGTCGTTGCCGAGTGAGTGCTTATCATCCAGCAGGCCCGTCACTCCAAACGAGGCATTCTCTGAAATTCTCGCTCTCGGGATTCTCCGTCGTCGCCCCAAAGTAACTCGACTCGACGGCGAATCGATGGAACTTTGCCATGTACTTCGTAGACATGTCCCACAACAAGTAGTTTATCGGGCCCGTCATCCGCAACCACAACAAGCCCAACCAAGCGAATCGCGAATCTCGAAACGAGGGTCGCGAACGGACCAAAACAATCGCCAAAAATCACTCAGCTGGGCGACTTTTTGGGGCTTTCAAAACAAACTAACCCCCCCCAATCCGGGACGGCTTCTCTGCCGCGGCGGGGTTTGAATGGCTCTTTCGGCGCAGTCGAGCCCCCCCCCTTGCTGTTGAAAGAGAGAGGGCCGAAAAGTGAACGGCCGTGGCGTGGGCTGATGGTACCCCGGGTCGCTTGCCAAGCTTGGCGTCCCCTGTCGTGGCGGCGCTTGAGAGGAGACTCGGCTCTGCCACCATGTCATTGCGGGCGGCTCCGGGACGCCGCATCAGTCGCCTCGAGGGGCCATTCATCCACCAGTGCGGGAGAGATCGTGCCTCTGCCGATGCGCTGCCCGACATTCTCGCCCGCCCCAGGACACATGTCAAACTCGCAGCGGGAGAGAGATGCATTTCCCACACAGGCGCGCGCAAATGGGGTCGTGGGGAACGGTCCCCGCGCGAGATCTGACAAGCGCTCTGCGTTGTACATGTGTATGTATTATGTATGGACGTACCTACATACATGCTGCATAGGACGCGCAGGAAACAGAGCCGGGGGAGCAGAAGGGGGAGCCGAACCCGCCCCTCGTTTCCGCCCGCGGCCGGACCACCACGCATGGGGCGGGCTTCGGTGGTCGTGCGGCCAAGCAAAGCTGTTGCACCCCCGCTTTCCACCACCACCACCACCCCTGCCCTGCCACACATCTCCAGTCAGGGTTGCGCTGCATGGAAGGGTTTCTCGGAAGAGGCTTCCAGGGTTCTCGCTACTGGGGGGGAGGAGGGGGGGAGGGTCTCGGGCACGCAGCGCAGCATGCCCGACGTGCAGCTGTGGACCAGATCTCCTACCCTTCCGAGATCGCGCTGACCTGATCGATTCCCGTCGGGCAGGCATCT